AGAGATGGCGGGGGGGGGGGTTGCTCCAGCGCTACAGTTTTATTTATCAGCCAAGGGGGATAAGTTTACAAGAAAAAGTTGGTAATTTTAAGTGTAGAAGGGGAAGGATTTCCCCTTTTCTTTAAAAAGTTCCGTTTTTAAAGAAAATGCTGATTAAATTGGGAACTGAACAAATTAGGGAATCACTTCTGTATGCTCTTGAAGCAGGCACCAACCTATTGGGGTGTGACCTGACTGTGAAATTGGACTGGGCTTAAAGGCACAGGAAGGATAAGAAAAGTGGCAGGAACCTCCCGACTGATGAGGAAGAATGGGGAATTAAACCCTGGTATGGCTTAAGGGGGGTGACAGAAGAGGGTTAAAAATAACGCCAATTAAAATAGAATGAAAGCAACTGGAGATTGTTTGTAGAAAACAGAATCATATTCCCTCTGAGGAAAAGCAAATGGCTGAAAGCTGTTATTGAACAGTTAATTCTGGATGGATTATTGGAACTCTGTATGCCACCTTTATAATAATATGCTGAGTCCAGTTAGGAAACTGGATGGGTTAGGTTAGCGCAGGATTTGGGAGCAGCCAATCAAACTGTCCAAGCCTGACACCTAGTGGTACCTAACCTGTATAATGTTGAGCAAAATGGTTTAGTGTGGTGGATCTAAGGGATGCATTCTGGGCATGCCCTTTGGAGCCAAAAAGGTTTCTTATAGCCAGAGATTTGTTGTTGGTAGCTGCCTTTGAGTGAGAAAATCTTATAAATGGGAGAAAACACGGCGTCGGTGGGTAGCATTGCCACAATGCTTCACAGAGGCCCCAAATTCGGACAAATTAGAAAAGGCCCTTGGGGGCTTTTGACCTGTCGGGGAGAACCAAGGCTGCCTTTGAGTGAGAAAATCTTATAAATGGGAGAAAACGCGGCGTCGGTGGGTAGCATTGCCACAATGCTTCACAGAGGCCCCAAATTTGGACAAATTAGAAAAGGCCCTTGGGGGCTTTTGACCTGTCGGGGAGAACCAATTATTACAATTTATAGATTGCCATCGGAGTTCTGGGGAGAAGAAAGAACAAATTTCTAAAGCAACCATTGGCCT